CATTGGAACCTACAGGAAGCATTTAGAGGCTGTAATTTCTGCAAAAGGCGGATCTACTAAATATTGATTTCATTTCTTTTTTTGTGGTGCCCAAATTTATGCACCTGCCTGATTTTGTTTAAACAATTATTGCACACTTTCTGTAAATCCAATAAACTTCATTTCACTTCTCAGATATCACTGTGTGTGTCTCCCATATGATATATTTAACTGACATTTTTTATTGTAACAACCAACGATTTATACAGGAAAATAATGACTATTAACAAGGTTGCCCAAACTTTTGCATCCCACTGTAATTAGAGATGTATAGATCCGATCACGTGATCGGAAAATCGGGCCTGATCACGTGGTTTCAGACTCGATCGGAATCTGACGTTACCTTCCGATCAGGACTCAGCTATATGTATCTATGTATGTATGTAACACAGCAAACCTGATACGGCACATCAAAAACAAACACCCGACACAATACAGCCAATTTACCCAGGCAACCCAGCTGAAGACGAGTCCGCTCAAACTGCAGGAGAGGTTGAAGAGGAGAAAAAAAAATGCCCGGTGACAGCGTGAAGGCACAGGACATCACAGCCAAGATAGCACAAATGACCGCAATGAGTAACCTGCCATCTGCCTTTGTAGAAAACCCTGGAATTCTTATGGTTATGGAGTATGTAGAACCTCTATTTGAAATGCCGTCTCACCATTACTTCACAGAGAAAGCTCTGCCAGCCCTTTATAAGAAGATTTCTGACAAACTATTTGTCCTGTTATCAGATGTGCCCCGTGTTTCGTTCACCATAGACATCTCACATGTCTCTACTAAGCCTTACCGCGCAATGGATTGACTCAAGTTTTTTTTTCGCCGTGCGACCCTACATGTCCAGGAATTTCGCAGATCGCACACCGCAGAGCGCATCCAGCAATCGATTGAAAAGATGAACAACTGGGGAATTGACAAGCAACGGGTCCATGTAATTTTGCGTGACAATGCGGAAAATATGAAGAAAGCTATGAGGGATTCCGAGTGTGGGCTGTGTCGCCCATTCCTGTCAACTCTGTGTACATGAGGGCCTGTTGTCTTAGCGCAGCGTGACAGAGACCCTGGCCAATGCAAGGAAGATTGTAGGCCTACTCTCGACTAGAAGACATACAGATGGACCTAAATATGGATATCAAGTGCCTACAGCAAGATGTACAGGTGACAGTCCTCTCGAAACATTCTTTAATGCATTTCTATTTTATTATTATTATTTCCCATACACTTGATTTAGTAAGGCACTAATACATTACCTGCTTTGCACAAAAATAAAGCGAATCATGTTCTCTTATGTGCAGACACGATGGAACAGCAGCCTCTACATGCTGCGGAGCGTACTGCAACAAAAACGTGCTCTTAATGTCTTTGCAGCTGAGCACACTCTACCTGCAACAGTGACAGCTCACCAGTGGGAGCTGATGGATAAGACTGCTGATGTGCTCTCCCCCTTTGAAGAACTGACCAGGGACGTGAGCAGGGAGACTGTAACTGCAGCTGATGTGATCCCTGCCATAACAGGTAATTGGTATTTTTATTTCTTACTTATATTGTTTGAAACAAACCATAATACCTCATTAAGTGCATTCATTAAGTCATCCATTCACTCATGAGTCCTCAGATGTGTTCTGTCTCGGGAGGATGGTGATGACCAGGGAATAAAAGCAATTAAGAGGACTCTGCTGGAGGCTGTGGAGAAGCCCTATGCTGATGTTGAACTGAGCCACTTTTCTAGATACCAGATACAACGATGGGCAAGTATAGTGAAATTAAAATGTACCTTTTGTACAGCATGTTTATATAAAGTAAAGTCATCAACAGACACCAGTATTAAGCCAATTTATTTTTTACTTCCTTTTTAATTTAGTTTTGGGTAATTTAGTTCTAAAGTTGGATTTTTTTTTAAATTGTTTATTAAAAGTATATGCGTAGGCAGTTGCCTAACTGAAGAGCTGCACTATGTGGCGCCTCTTGTCTTATAGTTTTGAATTGTGTGTTACTTTTATCCGTTTCTAGCTTTTTCACAAAGTCAGCCAACCTGTTGCTTGCAAAGGAACAACTTATCCAGGAAGTGGCAAAGACAGAGGGGAAGAGGGCTGTCAGTGCAGTGCCAGAGGAAAATGAGCCAGTGAGCAAGGCACCACATCGTGAAGCACGTAGCAGCCTGGACGTTGCCTTTGAGGAAATCTTGCAAGAGAGGCAGTCACAGAGATGGTCCATGAGTACCACATCAGCAGAACCTCAAGTGCAGACCTACCTCTCAGAAAAAAACACCTCTAAGAAAAGCGACCCACTTCAGTACTGGAAAGAACATTTTAATCAGTTTCCCTCTATGGCTGATGCTGAAACCCAGTATCTCAGTGCCCCCTGTAGCTCTGTGGACAGTGAGAGATATTTTAGTGTCGTTGCAAGCGTCCTTGATGAGAACAGAAACAGGCTCAAACCTGACAAGGTAGAGATGTTAGTTTTCATTAAGAAAAACATAAATTTCCTTCTGTGAAACTTACTACTTACTACAAACTTACTACTGTGATGATAGTAAAGATAGTAGTAAGTACTTTGTCCGGGGGACTGGGGAGAGGGAGGTCTGGGCTTCTCTGCATAGGCTGCTGCCCCCGAGACCCAGCCCCAGATAAGCGGAAGAAGATGGATAGATGGATGGATGGATGAGTTTTATGAGTGAAAGTGAAATCTGTGCAGCAAACTTAGTGTTACCTCCTCTACCTTCCTACAACATACAGCACAACATAACTGATGGAAGAAAACATGAACACAAGCATCACTTCCTGTTTGCTGAAGTGGATTTTCAGTTGTTTAGAAACCAAAAGATTGTTTTTAAGAGAGTTTAAATGGGATTGAGGGAATGACATATTTGCACTGCAAATTGTATCCAAAAACATCAAGCAGTTAAATCAAAGAGTTCATGTTACCAACAGCTCACCTCTCTGCAGCAGACACAGGCTGGACTTTAAAATTAATGGGACGATCTGCAGACAAATCACTCTTCAAGGACACACAGCCGGATTTAGGTTCATATTTACGTTTTGTTCCTCGTTTATTCCTGTGAATAATGATGCAGCAGTGATGTGAGTGCTGAGCTGTGACATGGAGAAGAGTCATGGACAGTTAGAGATGGTCATCTCACCTCTGAGCTTTGGTCTGGCTCTCATGTTCCCCACACAGAGTGCTTTTAGAGGGAGGGACTCCCTCCTCTCTGTCCTCACACTGATCCATGCTGCTCAATTCACATCAGCTCACACACACTTTCTACCTTCACCTGCAGAGGAAACACAAATCATTCATGTGCACATCAACCGTGTGCTGTCCAAATATCAGCTGCTTCTTTCCTGCTTCATCTCAGTGTCAGCTAAGAGAATGACAAACCCACTATGTGTCAACATTTGATGGATGATGACACAGAAATGTGAAATGTTATTGACCTAAATCTGTCCTGATGATAATGAGAAGCTCTGGTGAGTTTTGACTGTCTGAAGTGTCACTAGGATGATGAAACACTGGGACTCAGCCCAGTCCTGACATCTTTGCTATTTTCACTTGATAACAACAGCTGTTTAAAGTTACTGCGTGTATTTGACAGTAAAATGAATGTAAATGTGAGTAAATAATCATTTACAAAGTCTGCTGCTCTCTCTGTAACCATATGACCATCAACTAGCTCTGTGCTGCTGCTGCTCTTATTCACGAAGTGCTCAAACACATTTTTAACTTGTGAATTAGCGTTAGCGTTAGCATGCCGTGTGGCTAGCTTAGCGTTAGAGCTCTGGCAGGTGATTAATTAATCGTTAATTACTGTGACAGTAAAGGAGGTAAAGGCCTATAACGTTATCACGGATGCTGCGTCCTCTGTGGACTAAGCAAACTTACAGTTTCTTCACACACACCAACAACAAGCTCCACTTACTTCATTATAGTTCATCTGCTTCCTGGAAAGCCAGGGCTTCACCTGAGCGGAGGCAGATTTTCACAATAAGAGCACTCTGTCACTAATGTAACGCTGACGGTTTGTGACTGTTTAACTTTGTGTTGACAGAATTAAAGTAACTTGGGGTGACTTCTTCTGTCCTGTTTCTCTGAGCAGATTCAGCTTTGGCTGAAATAATCAAACTGGTAATTATCAGCCATCGTATTAAAGGATGTATCATTTTATTCTGAAAATCAACAGGAATCTGGTGCTGATCAAAGAATCTCCTTTTAATGGCTGTCATTCAAAGCTTTAAATGAACTTACCAACTTGTTACCTGGGATGGTTTTAGAGGCCTGGACAGTCCCGATGGACTCTTACTTTGAAAGGCTGGAGTCACCTGTAAGAGGGTTCAAAAGGGAACGTCCACAATTTAACTGCAGGAGATTTTTATTAAAGACATTTAGCAGACTCAAAAATAATAATACTCACTGTCTTTATTGTCTGTGTTCCTCTGTCCTGCTGTTTGTGACTGTGTAAAAAAAAAAAATTGAAACTTGCATAAATAAAAAGGGGAAAAATAATAATAATAATACTCACAGAAAAGTAATCAGATTACATGGGTCTGGAAACACTGTGTTCATTGTGTGTGAGTTTGTGTTTCCACCTGTGATGGTGAGATAAAGTTTCATCAGGCTTTGAAGCCTTCCAGCTAACTTAGCCTCCCAGAGGTTCATATGTGGAGGCTTCATGTCTACACAAATCCCCCTGAGGGTCAAAAACAGCCAAACAGGCAGAGTTATTACAGGTCATGTTAAGTGCAGTATTTGTGAGACAGCTCTTGTTGTTACCAGTGTGTGCATGGCAGCAAAAACAAGAACTAGATTCACCTTAATACATGTATTTCACGGTGTTGTGTCCTCCGCTTCGTGTTTTCATTCGAACACAATTTCTGTGTTTGTTTGTGCGTATTGTTCTGTAACATGTCAGCTCAATAAAACTGAATGTTAATGGCTGCCTACACCCAGGTAGATGTCTATGTTAGTGAATCTCAAACTATCAGATATCAAAATAAGAAAGGATCTTTTGCCTTCTCATTTTTCTTCCTCAAATTTTGTCTCCACAATTATAGAGACTAAATATTGTCATGGGACGTAATATTTTCATACACTAACATGATCTTTAATGAGTGCTGGTTGGGCTCAACGCAGTAATGCTACCATTGTTAGCACATTACTTTCAACAATTCAACTCAGTTTTATTTATATAGCACCAAATCACAATAGTCGCTTCAAGGCGCTTTATTTTAAGGTAGACCCTACAATAATACATACAGAAAAAAACCCAACAATCATATGACCCCCTATGAACAAACACTTTGGTGACAGTGGGAAGGAAAAACTCCCTTTTAACAGGAAGAAACGTTTGGCAGAACCACGGAGGGGCGAGGCCATTTGCTGCGACCGGTTCGGGTGAGAAAAGGAAGACGGGATAAAGACATGTTGTGGAAGAGAGACTGAGATTAATAACAAGTATGATTCAGTGTAGATAGGTCTATGAACACATAGTGATGAAGAAGAAACTCCCAGTGTATCATGGGAATCCCCCAGCAGCCTACACCTATTACAGCAATCATTTACAGTTGGGTGGTCGGGCTGTCCACACGCACACCCTCGGATGTTCAGCTCTCCATTCCTCCTTCACATTCTTCATATATCCATGTTGGAGATTGCCTTTTGTACAAGAAAATACACCTCTTAACAATGCAAAGCTGTCAGCACAGGTGGTGAAAGTACACACTAGGGATGGGTATCGTTTAGGTTTTATCCGATACCGGTGCCAAATCGGTACTTTTGAAACGGTGCCGGTGCTTAAACGGTGCTCGAACCGGTGCTTAAAGAATGGAGAACACAAA